TGTAATTTCTCTCTTTCCCTTTATATATATAATCCCTTGATTCTCCCTATTTGTTAGCCATTGCAAATATCTTGGTGACATGCCACCATTCTTAAATTTTTTCTTCTATTACAACAAATAGAGAGTTCAAGGTGAAGGTTTACTCATCTCCTTGTTTCATCTCATTATCATTTACTCATTAAAGACCCATAATTTGAATCATAGATAATTTAGTTTTTTTGTCTATACTTGTCTATGTGTTTAGGCTTGAACATGCATAAAAAACAACTTTCTACTCATCTAAAATGGAAAAGAAATAAACAAATTAAAATTGATATTGATTTTCAAAAGGTGCTCTTTATAATATTTTTGTTAAACGTATTATAATTTTTCTTTGAAATGATACAAATCTAGATAATCTACTTCAAAGTTAAAATTTTTGAGAATGAAGAACTATATAAGAATAATGAAGAGCCTCATATTTTAGTTGAAAATAGTGAAAATGTAGATGATTATCATGATGAAATTAAATATTTTAATAATAAAATTAACATATCTACGTTTAACAACTTAGTCAATATAGTTTATTATACATTCATGATCTAATAACATGAAATAACTTTAGAAGTGATTTATAAGATGAATTACTAAACTATTATTAAATGAGATATATCTATTGTAAATGGTCCTAAGAAATGTAATATCCTAATAATTTTGCAATAAAAAATGCAAGGACAATACTGAAATAATTGAGGGCATCATATTTCTAATTCACCTAGGACCTTAAAAACCCCCTAAAACTATGACAAGGGGAGCTTCTTGAAAATTAAGGTTTTCTAGTAACGAAAATGTCCAAGGAAGAAGGCCACTTACTGACAATTTGTGTGAATAGTAAAAGATGCCGTCCTGAGCTCCTACTCCTAGGGCATTAGGAGAATACAGCTCAGGGTCATCACAAAGAGTTTACAAACGCATTGTGCTCCTACTCACTTTAGGAGTATACACAAGCGAAAAAAGAATCAATGTTTAGGATATATCCCTAACTGAGGAGATTGAAGTTGTATTTCAAGAATTGAGGCGGCTAGGAACATGGCAGGACAGACTTTTTCCTCAGAAGAAATTTTCATGAACCATGCCTGGAATTTTCAGAATAGCCGTCAGGTATCAGCAAAGTGGTTCCTGGCGGTGAGACAAAGAGCTGTGTTCCACACCCACCCCCCACCCTTAAATTTACAGCAGCCCAAGGATAAATGTTTGATACTTTGGGCTCTGATAATCTGGTTGGTTATGCTATATTTGATCAACAAACCACTGTGGCAAGTAACCCTTGAAACAAACTGAATATTTAGTTAAATTTTGGATCTATTTAATTATGGATTCAGTAAGAGGAAGACCTAACACCATGACAATAAGTTTCTACGGCTAGATTGTATTCATTATGTTTACTTGACTCACATTCCACAAGAACGAACATATATATTTTTATTTCAAATAATGATTCTAGAAGACTAAGGTAGTTAAGATCAATACCAGGTTATTCAAATTTGATTTGAATCATGTGATCTTATTCTCCTTTATCCTAAACATTTAATTAGTTAAGATCAAGATTTTTTATTCAAAACCGATTCGATCTTATCCTCCTTTATTTTCTTCCTACCTTATCTTTATTTTGTAATCAAGATGGTTAGGATCACTTCAAGCCATCTCTACCTATATGATTCTCTCGTGATTTTGATCAATGTATAAAAGTAAAGATCAGTTACTTCTCCAAAAATTACATAAACTAAATCACTTACCACATGATCAAGATTTGAAATAGTACTTGACTGAGCAATACGTTTGATTTCTTCAACGTCTCCATCGGAGTAGGCAGCAAGTAGCTTGCTGGCACAACGATTCTGGTCACTTCTGACAAAAGCATCAATCCTAGCAACACCACAAGCATTTAAGCACATTTATTCATCAATTTAAATAATCAATTCAACATAACAGAAGATAAATACCAAAGAACTCTCAATCTTAAAAGAAGAAAGTTTACCATATGATTTATGCTAGGAACAAGAGAAAATTAGAGTTTGGAAAATGGAAATCAATAGAAGCAAAGCCAATAACAGGGACACAACAACAGCAACAATAATCATGACGAGTTCAGTTCACAAAGAAGTGCTATTCTGATACATATAACACGTTGGTTGAATTTGCAGGTAAAAAGCAGCATAACAAGGAGGAGACAGACACTTACTGATAACAGTCATTATAGCACTGCTGAGCTTGCTTAAAGTCGTGAGCATAAAGGTAGATAATGATTGCACTAAGATATGCCTGCATTTATGACAAGGTATATGAGAAAAAGTTTATGACAAAATAAATAAATTTCGGCACATGATTCCTAGTATTGAAACATCTCTCCACTTTCAGTGTTAACAATGATGTGGCAACTAAGCAATAATTTTTTATTTGGGAAATGAAATAAACCACTTATCCATGTCATAAAGATTAGACAGTTTTATGTTTGCCCTCAACTGTCTGACTCAACTCTCTTATATAGCCTTGGAACTGGCCATGGAAAAATGCATAACAAAACAAAGCACAAAATAGGCAGAGTTTCAAACAAAATAATTGAGTTCACAAAATTCAAAAAAACAGAGGACTCCTATCCATTGTCTTCTTCAAGTTTCACCCAAGCTTCCAAATGCTGATCTGTATTTTCTTAATGCATGCAACCACTCTGAATAACATTACTTGCTTCTCTGATTCCAGATATTCAATGAATTCATCAAACATTGCAGTTCTGGAGAACCTAAAATATTAACACAAAGCTAAACTAAACACATATTTCAGGGTAGTGTATAATCGTGTCCACACTAGAGAACACCAAATTTATCCCAGATTTTATTAGTGGAAGGATGAAATTGGACAGGTGAAGATAAAAAGAAACACAGACATCCATGCAACTAATATACAAAGCTTCAGCTCACTAATAGTCCTAAACCAACTTGCTATTAAAGTTTTAAGATATGATTTTACTTGAGCTTTGTTTTCCATTTCCTTTAAGTCTAAATTTTGTTGCCTTTCTTTTTCCCTCGAGGATTATTATGCTCTTTTACTGTTTCTCTATTCTTCTTAAGAAATTATTTGTTTTTTTTAAAAAAAAAGGAAACAAATTACATGGGCCTGGGAATGATTTCCTTAACTCACTGCATAAGTGTACCATTATGGTCATACTTATTTTTGGATAAAATTTCTTGAGAATCTAGAGTTTCAGGAAGAGAATGAGAAAACAGAGATTCAACACAAAGGTTACAAATTTAAATCATTACTCACAATGGTTCAATACATAAGTTGACACTATAGCTCTATTTTTAATAATACTATATGTGGACATAAAGACACATACAGTTAATCTCCTGTGCACTATACTAAACTTAGATATAACCGAAAGAAATCACATATAAATCATTACACACAGTGGTTCAATACATGAGTTGACCCTATAGCTTTATTTTTAATAATACTATATGATGACATAAAGACAAATACGTTTATCTTGGGTGCACAACAGTAAATTAAGTACTTAGACTCACAAGGTTTCCTAATTACTTGATACTATATTTTTAATAGAAATAGAAATTATCAGAAAGGATGACATATCCTCCAAAAAAAAAAAAAATCAGAAAGAAACACCACCCACCCCTCCCCCCACAAGTTTAATAGATTCCTCAATAATATAAAACCATCATATTAACCTACCTCCATATACTTTTTGAAATACCACTTTAACAAACCAATTCAAAGGTCCTTAATTCTTTTGGCAGCAAATGCATTGCTTTTTCAAACCTTCAACAATGACCAAATCAATATCAACTTAAAAGCTTAAAGGCAACCCATGCTTTTTCTATAGATGCAATTTCCTGTTGTCACAGGCATAATTGGTGCCGCTATGAATAGATACTGTTAATCTAGTCTTCCAAACAAGTGAAAGCATAATAAAGCAAATACTCCTTAACACCAAATGATCAACTTCAGAGTCTACCCTATTTATTGTCATACTTGCAAAGTTCCAGCATATTCGTTCAGAAGGCCAACCTATAACCAATTCTTTCCTTTTCAAGTCAAGAAATGACTTAAAATACAGAATACAAAATCAAAATATTCCAAACCTTGCACTGGCTATTGGAAGCGTTACACTTGTCAGCTGCCAAGCCCAATCTCAACATGAAAGATGCTGCATCTGTGTATCTGTGTATTATGAAACCATGCCCAACAAAATATGCAAGTCAATGAACAAGAAATGTTCAGAATTTGCACTTGGACAAAAAATAATGTGCTCTGCAAAAACCATCAATTCAGCTTCCAAAAGTAGCAATTCTTGCTTAATTGGTTGGCAACATTTATTTGATACAAAAAGGAAAAGGAGAAAACTTTTACAGAAAGCTAGAAGAATACGAGTTCCTCCTTAGAGAAAAAATGAAAAACACAGCTGATAATCATTTTAATGCAAGATAATCACTCAACTCTTTGATAAACCAATTTTATGTCTCATAGCCCCAGTAGTGCATTGTTGTGTCAGATGTGTTTAGTGTGGTTATACAAAATTCTAGTCATCTTGATTTTTTGTTCTTCACAGTTATTTTACTGAATCTCTTCGATTATATATTGATTAGTTAATCAGTTGGGTGTGAATGCAAAAAATAGAGGTGGGTCTTTGTTCAGTTGAAACCACACAGAATATATCCTGTGAAAAATCTTCAAGTATCATAATTACTACATTTTTTCTATGACAAACGTATCTTCATGCTCATTTGATTAAGAATTCAGTCAAAACAAGTCTTCTTTCAAGTAGTGACTAATGATTGTATAAAGAAGAGTTCGAGAAGTCATACATTATGTTTATTTTGCACTATGCCATACATTTTGAGGCATCAGCCATAGCAAACACCGTAAAACTCCTAATCTATGTTTTTCCTTCTATTTCGTTTAACATCTTTGCTGTCAATTGTTATCGAGAACAAGTGCTTTCTTGGCTACAAATCACTCTCATTCTTTATTTAAAATATATGTTGCTCTTTCCTGAATCTACAATAAAGCCCTTTAAACCTTCCATTCTAAATTAGGCAGTGCTATTCACAGCACCCAAACTGTCAAACAGACCCCAATATGATCCTATATCATCACATCATTGCTAGAAAAACATTGAAAGCCTTACATACTATGAAACCCCAAACTATTGGCCATTAAATTATCTAATTAATTTGTCATTCTATTTAAATTTGGCTATAAAAGCTCAATCACACAATTAAAATATAGACACTCTGCAAGAATCAAGATATTGACATATATGGCAATGGTAGGGGAAAAAAATAAAAAAAGATACACAGGGCCCGACATTTATATGGATCTTGTAGAGTAGAGCTCCGTGTTAGGGTAATAGCCAACTCCATCCATGTTACATTACACTTTTTAAGACTCAACTATACTATTTGACTAACACTATCAGATATGCCAATATACAAACAAAACAAATCAATGGGAAAGCAAACATAGAAATGTAACTGATTGCACACAGTATAATTACAATACACAAGTAAAAAACTTCATTCAGTTAAACAGTAGAAGAAGATAGGTGTACTTCATACTCTATATACCATCAAAATGTATTGCCTCAATTTTATAACAAAACTTACTTTTCAAGTTTTATATAAACATTAGTGGCAGCACGATAAAGATCAAAGGCCATTTGTTCTCTTCCATCATCCTCAAGAATTGTACAAGCATCTGTATATAGCTGAATAGCTTCTTCAGACATGCTATCTTCCAAAGCACTGCAGAGGGGGGAGGTATTATGAAGATGGTGATAATAAGACATACATACATATATATATATATATATATATATATATATATATATATATATATAATTTCTCA